ATGAGAACCCTATGAGCACATATGGTGGCCATTCTAGAAACGTTCATAGCCCCAGTATTATTCTGAAGTAAGGGCACAAATAATATGGTAAGGCTATCATAATGTTGAATGACCCTGTCGAAAGGCAGTGACTGATCTCACTTGTCAAGGTTCTTTGGTGACAACCTGGTGCAACACATGGGTGCTCACGGTAGGCGAATATACTGTAGCAAGTTCACTGGACTGACCTACCAGAGGATTCCATATGGATGGTAACCCCATCCATGGAACAAATCCTCTAACGAATGGTGGTGCATGTGATCCTTAGACTTGAGATCACCGGAGCGCCTTGTGCACCGATTGGTGCAGTTTGACACTAGCCTAACGCAGTTCTATTCAAAGTTGTCAATATGGTGGTAATTGGTTGCATCAAGGAGTGTATCAAGACTATGGTGGATTGACAGAGGATTCATCACTCCCGCGTACGGGAGAAGTTATCTCAGGACGCAATTCAGTATATGGCAATGACACTAAAATTGTGGCCACAGTGGGATTGAGTTGTTACTCTATCCGGATTATAATACAGGTCATTGGTCCAGAACTGAATACATAATATCAAAGTAACCGAAGGTTGACACTATTTCTATGCCTTCGTCTCGTCGAGATAATGTATGATAAAAGGATCGAATTGTACGGTAACCATATCGTTGACAAGTAGTTACTTTGCTGAATCTGAATCTATCGGGTAGCCATGATGCCTAGCTAAGGGCCAATCTTGGTCTGTGTATTAGTGAGACGATTAATTGGTGTTAATCGCAATACTATACACTACCGGTATGATGAGGAGCCTATGGGTCACACACATAGAAGATAATTTAAGACTCAGGAAGAAAGAAGGGCTTTTTCGTCTTTTTAGGCGAAAGGGTATTTTGGTAATTTCACAGTGCAATTAAATTTGCTGAGGTCGTAGCCTTTTATTTAATTTGTTAGAAAAATTAAATAAGTGAAATTACATTTAAATATGTGTTAGCATATATTTAAATAAATTATCATTATTGTTAAATGTTAATATATATATAAAATATATATTAATTGATTTTAATTGAGATAATGATGAAATAAAATAAATATCTAATTGGGAGTGTTTGTAACATGGGGTGTTTGGGTTGGAGTCCAAACCCATTCCATATGGGAATAGGGAATTGAGAGATTACTATAAAAGAAAAACTTTAGTGAGAAAAAGGTTAAGTTTTTCATTCATTACTTTTTCATGAAAAAGCAAAACCTCCCCCCAAAACTCTCTTTCACGCCACTTCTAGTTTGATTGAAAATCAAATACTCCTCATTTTTCTTTGTTTCTTAAGGCTAAGGAGGATCTAGCAAATCCTCCTTAGTTCCTGCGATTGTCTTGTGTGGACTACGTTGGTCGATCCTACACTTGGGTCGATAGCAAAATACGTTCAGAGACAACTTGGAGGAGCCTCCAAACATGGGTATGGTTTCTAAACTTCAAACTGATTTTTCTGCAGATTCTTATAATGTATAAACTGTGATTTTGTACCCGAATCTTGGTTCTAAGAAGCGATCCATGTAGTTTATGTTTTGTTTTTCCGCTGCGTAATTGGGTCGTTCATAACAAAAGGGTATTTTCATCATTTGTGATGAAACGGTATTTCGTCATTATGATGGAAAGGAATTTTTGTCTTTTGAGATGAAAAGGCATTTTGGTAATCTCACAATGCAATTAAATTTGTTGAGGTTGTTGCCTATATTTAATTTCATATTGAAATTAAAATTAGTGAGAATTATGTATTTAAATAATTCATATATTTAAAATATATATATATTATATTTATATATATAAATTATATATATATATATATATATATATATAATATATATATTTAATATTGATATTAGTGAAGATAATATATATGAAATATGAAATTCATATTTGAATTTAAATATATATTCAATATTAATATTTGATGATATTAATAAGGATAATACATGAATATGAAAATCATATTTGAATTTGAATAAGATGCCATGTGGATTATTATCTTGTTTGGTAATAAGGATGTACTATTCTAGTCATGAAATAAATTTATTCCTAACTAGATTAGGGTTTTAATTTTTGTTGCATTTAAAAATGCAACTTACAATTAAAATAAAAAGGGAGAACACATTAAACAAATCCAAGCCACTCACCTCACTCTCTCTCATGGTTTTTCACTTAGTGGAGAAGAGAATTTTTCTTGAAGAAAAAATTTGCATCCTTTTTGCTTGTGTGTCTTGCTAGCACTTGAGACCGCAAGTCGATCACCATCCTCTCTTCATGTGGATACCGAGAGTTCACTCTTATCTTAGAGTGGGAACGATTCGTATCGATTGAAGGAGCCTCCAAACGTTTGTCAGAAATCTGGAAATTTTATATTCAATATCATTTCATATTAAAATAACGTAAATTGGGTATAAGGTTCTTGGGTTCAATGCTGTTGTTTGGTTTTTTTTTTTAATTTCCACTGTGCAAAACCCATCAATGACTAACACGATCGACTGGATCTAGTTGGTTGTGCACTAATTTGGCCGTGGATCTGGCTGAAAACGACTAGATCTATTATGGCCATTTCTGGCTAGATCAACAGCCAAATCTATAGCGATCTAGTCATTTTCGGCTAGATGGGCACACAACCGACTAGATTCGACCGGTTTTGTGCCTTTCAGGCACCGATGGTGGTGGTGGCCAGATCCAACCACCAATCTTGGGTAATTGTTTTCAAGTTCAAGGTGTTTATGTCCTAAAAATTTTGCATATAAGGATAAAATAGTTCATGAATGTTTTTTTAAATTTTTTTTCAAAATAAGAACATTATTGTCCTAAAATGTTAATAGTTATGGTGTGTTTGGATCGGGGGCATATAAGATAATGGGGGTAATCGTAATTTATTTTGCAAGATTTCAGTGTTTGGTTTGCAAGTAATAAAATATTCGAGTATTGTGAGACCCCGTCATCTGGACCATGGGCTATCCTAGTCTTGGCCTACCGCGGCCTCATGGGCTTTCCACATGCGCCCCCTCATCTTGGGCCACACTCATTTGGATATCCCCACCCCTGCAAGTGGGTTTCTTTCGCCTTTCTCACCTCTCGAACACAAGACCTGCAGGCTAAGTACTTGTGACAAGAGAGATGAGCACCATCAGGCTAGCTGAAAGCCCATGAGGCCATAGTAGGCCAAGATTGGGATAGCCCATGGTCCAAATGACGGGGTCTCACAAGTATCTTTTATTGCAAATTGTGTTTACTGTTGGTAATGTAAGGGGTAATCTGATACCCTCCCCCAATAGGATGCCCTTAATTAAATACCACTTCAGACACAATTGCCCTCAAATGTCTACCAAATAACAATAAGCCCAACCCCATACATTTGAGAAATTAGCTAAAACACCCCAGCCACAAAAAAGTTCAAAAGTTAACAAAATACCTTCAGCCACCCAAGACCACCATCGGCTGTTACTCACCACCACCGACCACTGGCGTCAGTCTCCGTAATTGTCATGACCGACGAAATCTTGTTAGTTGTGCACCAGTAAGGCCTTTTCAAGCTATGGATCTGTGATCCATGGCCGAAATGGCTAGATCTGGTCGTTTCACAGCCAAAGATAAGGCCGTGAAATGGCCAAGGACTGGCTATTTCACGACCAAAGATCTGGCCTTTTCATGGCCACATCTTTGGTTGTAAAATGGCCATAGATTTGGTTGTGAAACGGCCATGGATTTGTGACCCATGGTTGGAAATGGCTTTAACCATGCATGGCTGGCCATATACAGCCAGTCGTGCGCCATTCCATTGACTATTGGTGGCGGCCAATGGTGGTGGCTGGCTACCGGCAACGGCTTGGGGTGGGTAGGGGGATTTTGCTACAAATTAAAGTTTTATATGACTGGGTTGTTTTAGCAAAATTTCAGATGTAAGGGGTTAAAGAAATGATTCAAAAAATAATATTATATTAATATTTGAAAAGGAGGGCAATTTAGTAATCTATATAACATACCCACCCATTTATCCTCCCAACCAAACATATTATTTACTAATTTATTCGAACCAACTAAGTATATTTTTTAAACATTCCCAATAATCTTTAAAGTGATCTATCTTTCCATTAATATAACATCCCCTATAATAAAACAATATATGATCCAGATACCCCTTTAAGGATAAAATTTTAACAAAACTAAGATTACCAAGTAATATTAAAATACCTAAAAAAAGTGTAATGCCCCCTTCAGGTTAAAATTTTAACAAAACCAGGATTACCAAGTAATATTAAAATATCTAAGAAAAGGGTAATGCCCCCTTAAGGTTAAAATTTTAACAAAATTAAGATTACCAAGTAATATTAAAATACTTAAGAAAATGGTGGTATTCATATTACCACCTGTATAACCAATAATAATTACTATTGGTTTTGAAAGATTATCGAAATGTTATATTACTTAACAACGAAACATGGTAATGTAAGTAATGTAAATAATATAAAATGATGTTATCCCAGTAATCTCATATACACTCTAACCAAACGCCTTCTAAGGGTGTAGTAACATACCCAACTTGTCATGCTAATAACGTGTTGTAAAATAAATGTAGACAATGTAAAGTAAATGCAGTAAAATGGTATAGCGGAAGAGTAAGACGACTAGAATGTTGTTTGCCTTCTCATTCAATTGACTCTTACGAATCAGTACAACAAACAATGATAAGTAAGTGGGGTTTATATAGTGTATAGCCGTCGATCATAACAGATAGAACTTGGCCAACACATTGCCACATGTCACATAGTAAGCTTAAAACATGAAACTGAAATTCAGCATTTTGTTGCTGAGAAATTCTTCCAATGTATTGAAAAATCATCCATTTACAAGTGAAATTAACTGTTGAGAGTCGAGAGGACCATTTATGTTTGAACAGAATGATCAAGAAATAAAAGCAGAGCTAGCATTACTAGTTTTTGCAGTAAAATCATTCTGGATCTGGAATAAACACATTCCTGAAGTATTCATGTTTCAGCGCATCATCAACCGTGATTCTCTCACTCGGATTCAGACGTAGCATTCTCTGCAAACCAAAAATATATCCACTTAATTAGTTGATAAGACCACAAATTGATTGTTGTATAATTTGTATGATAAACCCAATAATATTATACCAAAAGAAGATTTAAACCAGCAGGCTCAAGGTGATTACGGAACATTGGTGAAAGATCCTGCATGGTATCACAATTAATTAACATTAAGTAGGGAGTTAAGGTGAAGAAGCACAGACACATACAGTTGAAATATGATGTCGTCTACCTTAGGTTCAGTTTTTGTAAAACAATGGAGATATTCATGTGCTGCAGTCACCCCAGGCATGGTTTGTTCATTCGGCGTACCCATAAACCTTTGTATAAGAGAAGAGATTGAACAATAAGTAAACTTTGTAAGTAAATATACAGATAATTAGTGGGTGTGTGCAATATCACCTGAAAATCTTGATTGTTTCACTAAAATCATCTTCACTGTCAAATAGAGGCTTCAGGAGTACCATCTCAGCAAATATACAACCAATGGACCATACTTCAGCAGGAAAGGAGTAGTTTTTGAAACCAAGCAGAATTTCAGGTGCCTTGCCTGAGGGACGTACAATCTATACACAATACATATGAACAAGTTTATAATACCACATTTTGCACTAATTTTTAGTATTCAGTCAAAGAAATATCAATAAAATTCAAAGTACTGTAGAATCCGTAATCAATCTATCCTCGTGTGTAATACTGATCTCAAAGCATCTGAGTAACAAACTTTCTGTATTTTTGCAGAGAAAAAAATAAAAAATGAAATAAAAAGCTTCTTTACCATTCCAACATCTGTCACTTTCAACCTGATTTTTTCAATATCTATCACTACATGGTAAGGAGTTAAACATCCATGGAGAAAATTGTTGGAGTGATAATGAGAGATTCCAGTGAGAATCTGATGCATAAAGCTCTGCCAGGTAAAAAAAAAGGACGAAAGTTAGACAATTATATAAGAAGCAAACTATCATACATTTATAGCATCAGTACACATCTTGCAGAACCTAAATCATCCGTGTGTTTAAAATAGTACTTGAAATGATCAAATCAAATTTACAGAGAAAAGAACTTTGAGGTTTTCAATTAATCATATTTGGCAAATCAACTAATTCTATTATAAAGGAAACGCTAAATAGAGAAACCTAACATATATCAGATTAAGAGAAAAAAAGGAAATCCCAGTTGATCTTCAATAAGCTAACCAGCTAAAGAGTATTACATAAAGATTATAGTGACATGCGTAAATTAAGTACATTATCTCTAATAATATCACCACCCACTTTTGTTAATTGTCGATTTCTGACTGTGTCTGGAGATCTCTTCAAGAACACTTTTAGATTAGGACCTGCATACTCAAAAACTTGAAACACATGTCTGAGATTGATTCTGAAGAAAACTTCCTGCAATCTGTCACCCAGAAATAGAATTCCCTCCAATTATCATTTAGGATGCTATGATAACAATTAACAATTAATAGATAACTGAAGTAATTAACACAAAATAACATCAAATCTAGGATTGAAAAATTGCTTTCTGTGCACACTCTATCAACCATTTTATTTCTAATTATCGAGCAAACAGTCTCAAAATGGGTAAAAACTTTATACTTCTTTCAATATATAATGTAAAATTCAAGACGACTTAAGGAAGAGCATATATACCTGGTAATTCTGGGATGTTTCATCTGTTTGAGAAGGGAAATTTTGGATATTAATGAGATTGGAACACCTTCACTGCCATCTTTAATGAAACATGACTTCACATAAACAGCCTTGCCGTTATCTTCATTGTCTAGACACCTGTGAAACATACCAAAACCATCGTCTCCTATCGTCTCCTGTACGCGGAACTGAACATTTACCCAAATTAATTTAGTAGAAGAATAATGAAACTAAGTTAGATCACATCAATTAAACTCAAGCTAGCTTTATACCCTTGCCATCTAAAATTTTTTAAAAATCCTGCCACAATCACAAAACAAAAAAGAGGATTAATAAAGCTTCCATTACGAGACTCAAAATAAACATAAATTTAAAGGTTTTGAAATAATTAAGCTTTAAACAAACAAGAATTGTGTGAATTATCAAGAATTGGGGGGTAGATCATTGGTCTTTTTAATTCTTTTAATTTGGAAACTGATAGCAACAAAAATAAATAAAGAATTAAGTCGAGCTGTTCATTTTCTTGCGAACCAAGCATACATTTAATAAACTGAAAATCAACAAATTGAATATATAAATGCGGATTAAGTGGAAGCTACATAATCAACATATAATAAGCCTCTGTTTGGCTACTGAGAAAATATAAGAATCAAGATTCTAAAATTGAGAGACTTACTGAACTGTGTATTAAGAAAAGTCACTGAATGAGTTGTATGATATGATTTTGATGTTGTTAATTATAAGCCGCTGTTTGGCTGCTGAGAAAATATAAGAATCAAGATTCTAAAATTGAGAGACTTACTGAACTGTGTGCTAAGAAAAGTCACTGAATGAGTTGTAAGAAAAGTCACTGAATGAGTTGTAAGAAAAGTCACTGAATGAGTTGTATGGTATGATTTTGATGTCAACAGAAAATTTATAGAGAAAGAGGAGACTGGGAAATGTTCCCGCCAAAACTCTTTACCAAGTGACTGTTATATTGTAGAGCCGAGCATAGAGTTATTGAGACAAACCCTAAAACTTTAATGCCTGAACAAAATTTTATGTACTTCTGCCGCTAATCTGTAGTATACAATATTTAATTGCTCTCATACAGACTAAAATGTCAATGTGAAATTCTACACCAACTTGAGATATTTGGTTGATCCAGGAGGGAACCGAGCAAGATGGGTGCATGATTCTTGGGAATCAGCAAAAGTAACTTGACCCGGTCAGGATGGTGACCAAGGTAAGGAATTACCTCCCGGAAAATGGCATTAGAAATGATTGTTTTTAAAGTGGTTTGGCCGGAAAATGAATGAGGCTTATGTTCACTGATATTTTATTGGAGTGTATGTTTCAATTATAGAGGGTGGATCTATACCCAGTAAGCGAATAATAGTTTTCTTTCTATTTCTACTCTAGGGGCTGAAATCCAGATCTTGAGATCCAGGGCTCCGTTTGGTTAGTTTTTGGGAATACTATTATTAATATTCTAAAAAAAACAATAAAATGCCCAAAAACTCACAATATTATCTAATATTATTCAACTTTTTTAAACCCCCTAAATTTGTTAATTTAATTAAATACCCCTAAATATTTTTTTTAGAAATTACAAAAACACCCCTAAACCCATATTATACCAGATTCCAGCCACCACTGCCAGAAGTTGGCCATAATCTGGTAGGATGGCACACTACCGGCTGGATCTTGCCGGTAGTGCGTCGATCTAGCCTTTTCCGGCCAGATCCATTGTGGATCTGGCCAGAAAAGGCCAGATCTTTGGCCGTAACCGGACGTCAACGACGGCCAACATATGGTCGTCATTGACCATCAACGACGGTCGTATCTTTGGCCATCGTTGACGAGCAAATGCGGCCAGATCTGGCCGTCAATGGCCAGATCTAGCCGTAGATCTGGCCGAAAAAGGCCATATCAGCTCATGATCGGCAAGATCCAGCCGATCATGCACCGATACGATGACTCCAGCCACCTCCGGCGGTGGTGGTCAGCTGTCCATATTTGATGGGTGGGTTGGGGGTGTTTTTGTTAACTTTTAATATTTTATTATAGGGGTGTTTTGTAAAAAAACAAACATAGGGGGTATTTTATCAATTTGTAAATCCTACATCGTAATACCCGTCCAATTCAACTTTTTTTTCTAACTTTTTTCAAAAAAAATTTCCCCAAAACGTAAAAATGTGAACCAAACGGAGCCCAGGTTTCTCCTCTCTTTTTATCTTTTGATCCCCTACTCCTATAGCTGTTGGAGCTATTTATACGGGGTCTTTTTGGATGTTCAATAAGTAGGTACGTCAGCCAGTTTATCTTATGTTGCGCCACAGTCAGAGGCTCACATGCCCCTACACCATAGAGAATCATGATGTTCCCCCTAACCTAGTCGCTTTCATAGGTTTCTTAGTAGCTCAATTGCATGGAGAGCATGTGGTGTTTGCATGGTCCCGTGCTGTTGAACGGGGTATGTAGATTATACGTGGAAAGATGATATGTAACCGAAAGAGAAGATATCTTCAAGGGGTGGGCCTTTTGTGCCAAACGTCGTGGTCACACCTAGGTGCTGATCATTTGGAGTCTTCGTTGCTCGTCTTTACCCCCAAGCTTAATGTTTGCCTTGAACAAAAGGTACATTCTGGGCTTCCCTATAGATCCCAGGCTATGGATTTTTACCATACAACAATATTAAACAAAAACTAATGTAGAAGAAATATAGGAGTAATTTTACTATTAGCATATTTAGAGTTTTATTTCAATTATGAGTGTATATTGTTTCATCTTTCATTGTTTGATTAAGATTAGAATTTTAGAACTATATTATCTTATATTCTATCTAAATTCCTGATTTAATTATCTATTATCTATCCTCTTTACTCTTTACTCTTCTCCTCCTACATCACAAACATTATATTTTAGGGGTGTCTGCCGAGCCGAGCTGCTCGCAAGCCGGTTTGGCTCGACTCGTTGAAAACTTGTGCTCGACTCTGTTAAAACCGAAATATGACTAATATTCCTAGAGGGGGGTGAATAGGAATCAATAAAAATACTCGCGGACTAAACACTATCAACACAAGTAATAGCAAATGATGAGTTTATCAAATCTATGTTCAATAAATAACCTCAACAACCAAAGAATGATAAGAGTTAATGTTAATGCAAATTAGCAATAAATATACCCAAATGAGAGCAATAAATGCAATCAACTTATGAGTAATTAATATGAACAATGAATTTATGAACAAGAGTAATAATTTGAGAGAGAGAGAGAGAGAGAGAAATGCTTAGAGATTTATAATGGTTCGAAGCTATATCCACAAGTCTCCTACACCCACTTCTTCAAGGCAACCTCCTTAAGTTCCACTAGAATTGGATTGCGCCAAATACAATAGTTTTACAGGATTTTGCCACACACACTTAGATTTATAGGATTGTACCTAGTTTTACAGGATTTTGCCACAAAGGATTGAATCAAAGTGCTTTGTGAATGGTTGCCTCTTCTATGTAGGCTTATACACACAATAAGAACAAATGAACTCTCAAAGGTTCACAAGATGAGTACAAGTGAGAGTATGTGATTTGGATCTTGAGCTCTAGGGATTTTATGAGAATGATCTCTGATTTGATAAGACTTTTCTCTCTTATTTTACCTAAAAACATCAAGTTTTTATAACACTAAAAAGATTAGTTGTTGCAGCATTTAATTTAGTTATGATAAAGTCTGCAAAACCTAGATGAACGATCGTTCCATAATCATGAACAGTCGTTCCTAACACAACAGTCATATTTTTTCAGATCTAGGTTAACTGGATTGGTCGTTCCATCGCATCCTCGACAATGGCGCCAAAAACTTGACAGATACAAAGTTTAATCCTTTGCAAGTGCACGACTTGCAATCGCAGCATAGTGTACGAGTAAGGGTTGATCCCACAAAGACTGGAGATGCTCTTGCGATCCTAGAAACTATGTCTTGATGAAAGTAACAAAATCAAAATAAAGAAAACATATAAACAACATTAAAGTAAATCTAAATCTAACTATATAAAAAGGATCCTAGGGCTCTAACTCCATCATAACTATCATGCTAAATGTTGATCATCAAACTATTGTTCTCTTCACTCAATTCTAGGGTTTGTACATCATTGGGTTCAGCCTAGTACTTTCATAATTCAAACTAGCTAGTGGCGTATAGCCTAGTCTAAATAAAGAAGGAACCAATTTGCATAGACACAAATCATCCATTCACAGAGCTAGTCAAGATAGGCACAACGCCTCTCGTTTCTAAGGTATTATTGCCGCCATTTGGAATAACCTAGTGTTCCCATCAACTAAACTAGCTAGTGGCGTATAGCTTAGTCTAGTAACAAAAAATCACTAAGCACAAGACAATCTTAAAGACAACAACCAATCTATACCTGGGAAAGGCTACAAATCAATCATTCCACACCCAATCTTGTCTCATACAATTAACTAACTAACATCAAGATTGATCAAGCCCTAATATCAACTAAAGATTGAATTAAACGCAATGAATATATCTAGAACATAATCGAATGGATAAAACAAATAGAATAACAATAAAACAAAAGCCTTTAATTAGATTACATAAAATCCCTTGAAAACAAACTATAACATAAAGGAAAAGAAACAATAACACCTGGAACCATAATCTGAAGAACAAAGGAGAAGGAGAGGAGGAGAACCTCCTCTCCTCTCCAGGCTCCTCCTTTCCAAGAGCCCCAAATGTATTCCAATCCCAAATATGTTTGTAAAACCTAAAACTTGCTAAAAATGGACTAAAGCTACCTTTATATAGTTTTTAGACAAAATGGCAAACTTTTAAATACTAGTCGCTGAAATTACGGTTGGAAATGTGACATTTTAATATTCTACGTGATTTGCACTATGACACAGTTGAATTATACCATGACAGATTTCCAGCGATTTCTTCTTCAACAAAAATCGTATCACGCTGTGGCTAGTTGAATGGCGCTATGGCGCCACACGGATTTCGTCGATTTGTGTTGCAACGTTGTAAATCTTTGCTACAGTTGTGTCGATTTGTGTGGTGGTGCAAGAATTCGTGTTGTAGCACGATTTGCAATTTACTCTTTTTCTTCATGCCTTGATTTATCTGCACTCGAATGGGTCTAGGATGTCCAAACAACAACACAAGCATGAATAATCCATTCTTTTGCACCTGAATACCTAAAAACACACACAACACCTGTGATTCCAAAAGATAACAAAACATGCTAGAAATCTCATCATAAATCATGCATTAAACCTT